TCGGCAACCAGGTTACCGTTTTTTTTTTACCTCCGTTTTTTTTTTTTTGCGGTAACTATAATGGAGATCGAGTAGATCATGTTGTGCGGGGTGGAGAACCCTCGCTCCGCGCAAGGGGGATGATCGCACCACGTTGTGTTAAAATGGTCAAGCACCCTCGAGGCAGTTACACAGTGCTTACAACTGTCTCTGGAAGTGAAAGCACCAGAAAATAAATTAATTCATACGCAGCTGTCATCCGTACGCAAGGAAGTAAGCACAAGATGCCGAACACCCTTAGCAGGATGCAGCGCACCCTTCATGCGACTCGCCGAATATCTCACGGCGCTTCGCGCTTGGTGATGTGAGAGCCTGGTCCGGTGAGAACCTGGCGTGCTCCGTCCCGGCTTTGTAGGGATACGAGGTCAATGGTCTAACGACTACGGCATGCACGACTATGAGTCCCCCCCCCCCCCCATCGCCGCGAGTGCGGCCGCGAACCCTCGTCTCCTCTCGTCCCCATTCCTTGACGACTCGTTTCGAAAGCGGTGGGTGCGAAGGAGCGGGAGCGGCGGCGATGGCAGGCTGCGGCGGTGTCGTCGGCGACGAATGGAGAGGCGCGGCGGCGGTGGACGGTGGCGTCGGTGGCGGACGGGGCGGCGTGGCTTCGGTGGGCGGCGGTGCTGACGACGACACGACGGATATCGACGACTGAGCCGAAGATCCTGTGAAGATCGACAGGGAAGCGGGCGGTGGTGCTGCGGTAGTCGCTGTCGCAGGCGGGGTGTAGACGTATGTCCACGATGGCGTCGGCGGTGGCGATCGGGTAGTGGCCGCAGGTGCGGCGGCGGCCGGCGAGGGCGCCGCGGTGATCGAAGAACCCCTCCCGATGGCCGGCACTGCCGCCGGCGCTCCTGCCCGGTGGTTCACCCAGACGACGTTTTTGGTGATGACGAGCCGCCCGGTGTCAGCGCGGAGAACGACGGCTCCGTGCAGGTGGAAGCACCGCGCGGATTGGACTTCCGCCTTGGTGGCCCACTTCACGCGCATCATCCCCTCCTGGATAAGGGACGACGTTGAGCGGCGGCTTCCGTCCGAAGAAGACCTCGAACGGCGACATCCAGCCCAGGTTGGCCTTAGTCGCGGAGCGGTTGAAGCAGCCGGATGCCCACAGGGCCGACGCGAGCCACGGGCGATGTCCATTGGCGTCGACGTTGGGGATGGAGGAGAGGTCCACGTGGTCCATGACGAGGATGTGGCGTCGCACGGCGTGACCCCCCGTTATTGCGCGCCAGATGGCGCTCTCAGCCACCGCGTTGTGCATGGGGGTGTTGGGGATGTGTACTCGCGCCGGATGCCAGCAGCGTCGCAAAACGTGGTGAACGCGGCGCCGGTGAACTCGCCGCCGTTGTCCATGCAGAAACACCCCCCGGAGTGCCCATGACGTTCATGTCGGCGAGGAAGCGCTTCACGCAATTTTTTCTACATAAAAAATACCCTCCTGGGTCATGCATAGGCTTCCATTCACTGTAAAGACCTCCACACATCCCCTTCGACTGTTGTGGATTTATCCCGAACGGGTAGTCCTTCGGTGTTTGTATGTTTGCAAGAGTTTTTCTACATAACAGACTGTTACAAGTCCATGGTCGACCGGAATCCATCGACCGAGATGTCATGTAGTCTACAGATGGCGCTCGCACTCAAGAACTCGCAGTGAAGAAATGCAGACTCGAAAAATTCAATATTTAAGAAGTCGGCCATAAGAACACGCGCTCACTTCCAACGTGATAATCTATTAAGAACAAGAACCCGTATTTGTGGTGTAACAAAGCGCTTACGTATACGAACAGACCCCCAAAAAGTGGCAGCTGCAAGACAATAACTCATGAAGGTGGTGAGGGGTGACTCACGGACACCCCCCCCACCGGCAGTTTCAAATCAGCGACGAGGAGGGGGATCTCCATTTCAAAGAATACCGGTGCGGAGGGGGGGGGCGGGGCGGGGGCGTACTCTTATGTTTTGCATATTTAGTGGTTAGACCATTGACCACGCGTCCTCGAGAGGACGGAGTATTGTTCCAAAGACCGATGACCAATCGTTCCCTCCTACTTAAACCAAATAAATGTGTCTCAAAACATTTCTCCTAGCCTGTCTATCCTATCGATGTCACCTCCCACCTCTTTAACCCACGTTCTATGTCCCAGCACAGCTATACCGTCTTCTCTCCGAGCTGGTATTCCATGCCTCAAACATCTCCCTATATCTTCCTTCTACTTTCCCAAGGCTCAGCCACGTAAGATCTCCTCTCCTTGTGCAACAGACATCCCGCAACTACGTGAACCGGGTTGTTCGCACTCGGAGCCGCGTTCGTTCACATTTTACCTTTGTCGTTGCGGAGGGGGGAGTTAGCTTTGTTGTACAAGGCACGCTCCTCTTTGCGTGTCATTGGGGTGCCTGCCACGCTGCGTGCCATGCACGAGAGCCATGTCTTTACCCCTTGAAATATCGAAAGAGCTCGGTCAGCTGCCAAACAAAGGTAAAAGGAGGTGTAATTCTTGATCGCACTTTGAGGCCATCACAGATATGTCATTGCTGGCAACTGCCCACGAGAAGTCAGACTGGGAGGCGATGGAGTCGACGCGGGGGCGACCAAAGTTTTCCGACATCTCTTCTTCCTTCGCCGCACCCACCGGTTTTCGAAATCAAGCGTCTAAATAAACCCGCTGCTCTTCTTGACAGTTCGTTGCTGCATATTGAGTACTCGTAAAACTGAGCATGGGCTCTTTTGGTGAGCTGATCACTCGGCCGTCTCAGGAGCGTACCCGCCACCTTTTGCGACTACCGTGTGCATTTCGAGCTACATGTAGACCAAAGCACCGCATGAATGCCGTTGGACAAGGACAGTGGAGATGCGGGTGCGGCGGTAGGATTGTGGGCTTTGCTTGAGGGGAGCGCACCGTAGAGCCGGGAGGAGGTCCGGCATTCGAAAAGCAGGGCGCAATGTAATAGAGCGGAGAGGACAATCACGCCGAACGTGACCCTTGTGGACCTGTGAATGGTTCAACGTGTTTGCTCAGATGGGTCATTTTCTCAGGCACTCTACCCTATCGTGATCTGCGGTACGTCGATTCCAGAGGTCTCTGTTGAGCGATTTTCTATTATTACACTCCATTTTATTTTTGTGACCACGGACCGAGTCTTTGCTAGATTTTGGGATTAGCAGGTGACACGAGTTTAATGTGAAGAAAAACAACAAACAACAACAACCCTGCTCTCAAGTTTCAGGCTGAATCCACCCAGGAGAAAAGAACGTCCTCTGAATGGGGCTCTCGGCGTAGAAATAAGAACAAGAACCCCGTGTATCAGATATGCCTGCTCGAAGTAAGAAATTTGAGAATAAGAACAGGTGCTCAATTTGAGACAGCCAATAATATATTAGTCTAAGCATCTAGCCTTGGCCAATATAAGCGGGCGCCATCTGCATCTCCCGCAAGCTCTCTTCCCTCGCTCATCGCGATACATCCTTAGAACCTTCTCTTGACGCAAAACCGGGAGGCTCAAAGGAAAACAGTGAACACTGAGAGAAGCAGCAGCCCGTGCGGTGGGGGACTGGTGAGTGTGCTATGCTTTGAAGTGGGCCGTCGTGGGCCGTCATGTTTTTTTTTTTTGTTTGTTTCTCTCCCATCATTGGACTCTGCCGTCTGCCCCTCTGGCCCCTATCCTCCACTTCTACTAGCTAGACGACCCAACCGGGGTCACATAGGAGGGGGGGGTTGGACCCCCTCCTGCGGTTCATGCCTGAGGTATTTTTATCGCGAGAAGGGTACAGCAATCCCTTCCCTCGCGACTTACGAAGTCGATTATGGTTTACTAACAAACGAGCTTTGCAGCGCGTCGCTTTCATCCTAGACCAGGATTTATTTAGTGAGAAAAAAACTCTCCCTGCCGGGACTCGAACCCATGACCTGGCCCTTAGCAGGCTGCGAGGCTACCCACTAGACCACCGGGGCGACCGGTGTGACGGGCCGTGTTTGCAGTGGTTGTTGCACGTGACGGGACTGTCGAATTAATCCCACCGCGAATTCTCACGGGGCCTACGGAGCCCCCCTTCTAAGAATGACCCTGTGCTGCCGCTCTGCCGTGTAGAGCACACCGCCAGCAACGCAGACGTGACCGCACGGTGCCCTCCACGTCTACATCACCACGGGTACGCGATGGCTGATGGTACCATCGTTCGGCAGAAGAAGGATGGTGGTGGTGGTGCCGCCCAGTCGCTGATTCGCAAGCTCACAACGGAGAAAGCCGTCAAAGCCCATCGCCAGCAAACACAGCAGACGTCTGCCACGGAGCACGACATCACGAACGTTAAGCTCACCTCGAGGGGTATCAAGACCATAGAGAGCCTTGAACTACCTTCCCTGAGGTATGCTGAACGAAGAGGATGAACCGCCGAACGGTGCATTGTAGTGCCCCCTCATACGCTCCTTATGTTTGACATCCCAACCATCCCAGTGAGCTCTCAGCAGGTCCACCCAGTTTTGGCTCTCCCTGAAACTCCTCTCCGCGACGTACTCCTTTGCGCGCTGTATCCATACGCCGTTGGCAGGCGACTAGACCTGTCCAAGAACAGCTTGAACCGGCTCAAGGGTCTGCAAGGATGCCCGCAGGTAAACCACATTTTGACGTAGGGCTGTGGTTTGTTTCACCACCCGATGTCGCAACTCGTGAGTAAAGTCACATGCTTTTCGAGTCAAGTAGTGTGGGCTGACACGAAGGACCGCAACACAACCTACCACATTATTTGATTAATCTAGTACGAAATACGTGAATTCAGCATTTTTCTTCGCAGAGCATTGAAGAGCTAGCGAAACCACACGTCCCATCTAGCAACCACCCGCCCAACTCCTTGCCCCTCTTCCGCCTCTCCCTGTATCCTCAACGCAAAGGTCACGTATCTCACCGCAGCTGGCAACGAGCTGACAGGCGACGGCCTGGACGGAGTGCGGCCGCTCAAGGACCTGAAGGTGTTCAACGCCTCGGGAAATCGCGTGCGGCGCATTCCCCCCGCGGTGTTCGCCCAGTTTCGACAGTTGCAGGCGCTGGTGCTAAGCGACAACGAGATCTCCGAGGTCCCGCCGACGTGGCTGAAGAAGGGACTCCTTTCCCTAAACACGCTTGTGCTTAGCCACAACAAGGTGCGTCCTCTTCCGCCCGCCTACCGGGTGCTGGGCAGAGTCAGAGAAATCAGGAGCTTTGGCAAGGCAACGCTTGTTTTATTCTCTTGTAGCATACATCGGTTTGCGTTGTACGGGATGTTTTGTTGAAGCAAAGTGCCTTGTCTTGGACGTAAATTTCCACCTCTCCATTGGGGTCGGGTGCCGAAACGGTCAACCCGACTGCACATGGCGTAGGTGCACCTGTTCTGCTACGCGTCCGAAACATGGTTTCGTGCGCCCTCGACAGCGTGTAGTATTTTTGTGACGCAGGAAGAGGAACCATTTCCTTCGGCTCCGTAACAAGAGTAGTTTCTTGCGTGCAGATGGGTTGTTGAGCTGATCCCACGGGTACTATTTACGTATTGCATTCCCCCGTCCCATCTCCTTCCCACCCCCTCGTGAACATGACATAACACCACCCTACTTGTTTGTTTTGTAACGTTCTCCCCGCAGCTCAAGTCCCTGTCGGGGACCGGGCTCGGCCGCCTGACGGCGCTCACGAAGCTCTCCATCTCCTACAACACTCTCGTCGAGCTGCCCGACCTCTCGGCATGCAGGTGAGACCGCCTTTCTTCGGCCTCATGCTTCACAGGCGAATCGCGTGTTTGACACGCGAGCATTTGCTCTGAGGAAAACTGAAAGCGCCATGAACGAGTGCACATGTCCCAGTTGTACTGCCGCTCCCCTTTGTGTTCTCGTCCGAGCGTGCGGTTCCGGCGCCGCCCCAGCAACATCGTTTGGGCTGTCCTAGGATCAATCTGATTTGCTTGTCTCACGCCCTGTCCTCAACCATGTGTCCCTTCTTCCCTTCTTCTCTTGGCTTTACTCTTCGTGTCGACGTCTTGGTGCGATCTGCATACACCTGCGCGTTGTCGAAACAGCGGGCTTGAAGAGCTCCGAGCGGCGCACAACATCGTCACTCAGGTCCCCGCGTCCCTGAGCAAGAACGCCGCCTTGCGCACGCTCGATCTCGGCCACAACAACATCGACGACTGGGTCGGGCTGGAGCGCCTGGGGGAGTCCCTCAAGTCTCTCATGCAGCTCTCGCTGTCCGGAAACCCGATCTGCGGCGCAGCCGCCGCTGCCGAAAAGAGGGGAACAGGGGAAGAAGATGGAGAGGAAGATTATGTGGCAAAGGTCCGGTCTCTGTTTCCGGGCCTCAAGGTGAGAGACGGCAAACGGATCCTGATGAAGAAGTCCCACACCTATTACGAGCAGCGCGGGGGCGAGCAAGGCACCGGCGCCGGCGCCGGCGCCGGCGGAGGTAGGAAAGACTCGGCGATGCGCGGAGCAACGCCGGGGTCCGGTGGGAAGAGAGCCCCAGGCAGCGGGAAAATGGCACGGGCCGTCAAGGGTGATGGGGTCGATGGAGGAGGGAGTGTCAAGTCCGGCGATCGTGAAGGAGGTCAGCTCATCTCCGGTGAACCGAAGGGAGAAAGCTCGAGGCCCAAGGAGATGCGCGTTGGCCAGCAGGGGGAGGGTTCAGGAGAGCCATCTGCGAACATGGACGAGGAAGGTGCGGGAACGAGCAAGGAAGAACGGACACGAAAGAGGAAGGCCGCTCGAAAGGCTGCAGTGGAGGAAGCACAGACAGAGGCGGCGGCTGCGATCACGAATAAGCAGGGCAGAAAAACTAAAAAACGTCCAAGACGGGAAGAGGAGGAAGAGGGGAAAGAGCGTTTGGGTTCTTCGCCCGTCGAAGAGGCCTCGGCCGCGGCTCCTTCCAAGAGTGCCGACAATCTTACCAAGAAGCAGCGGCGTCGCCGGCGTGAGGAAGGCACAACAGCAGTTGAGACGATCGCGGCAGCAGGTGCCGCCACCACGGTAGTGAGCAAGAAAAAAAAGAAGACGGCAACGTCCGGCGGCGGGGGTGGTCGCGCCCAACAGCAGGAAGACCCCTACTCTTCCTCCGAAGAACTCCCGATTCCTGGGAGAGGGGACGGCGGCGATAGCCTGGCGGTGGAAGCCCCGACCGCGAAACGGACAGCAGATGCCGCGGTCCCAGTCCGAGAATCAGGGGTGGTGAGCGTGGTGATCAACACGAAGCGGAAGGGTGCGAAGACGAAGGCGCGGCAAGACAGCGGCGCTGCTGGCAGGCCGGGAGGTGGAGGGGGGGGGGGGGATTTCAGCATTGGCGCAATGCTTGAGGCTCGCGGTCAGAANGGGGGGGGGGGGGGGGGGGGGGGGGGGGGGGGGGGGGGGGGGGGGGGGGGTGATTTCAGCATTGGCGCAATGCTTGAGGCTCGCGGTCAGAAGGAGACGATCGGGTTGGGGTCCGGCGTGTCAGCGTGGGACTAATTTTTGCCTTTCGTGTGAGGTGTGCTGTTGTAGCTGTCCAAGTCGTCGGCTTTCGTTGCCCATCACTTATCTGTCGCGAATTGGTTCTTGAGATACGCGTTTTATTCGACAAGGGAAGGGGGCAGGGGGGGCGGGGGGCGGGAGGATGTCGTCCTCTTCTTCGCTGAGTTGTTCCCTTAAGTTATGATTATTTTCTTCAAGGCGGCTGCCCACACAGAATCATAACGCGAAGAACACGTGAAGTTTTTCTTGACAGCAGTCGACGTCTTGTTTTAACGTATACATGGCATGGCATGGTGGTGCTTCCGGCAGTTATCGATTTCTCACGCGTGGCGCACCGACCAATAGCAGCGGGCCAAGCCAGACACCAGCCTCGGCTTCGTATCCACCCGGGTTCGAGTCTCGCTGAAATTACAAGTTTCCACTAGGGTGTTTCGTTTCTTTTGCGTTTCTTGAATCGAATCGACGCTGCCGTGTTGCGACCAACGGACGACACACAAGTCAGGATAAGGACTTGCTCGCCTGCCGTCGCTGATGTGTGCCCAATTTGGTTTCGCTACTATCCAAAATCACCACGTGTGCAACAAGTTTTGTCTTGCACGGAAGGGCTTCCCCGGTCCGAATCGCCACTACTAAAATTGTTATATGATGAGTAGATTTTTCCGGTGGCCTGGGCCACAGTGTCCTCATGTCCCCCGGGTGGGCCACCAACAACCGCTACGACAGCAGCACGTGGCCAACACAAGGTAAGGTGGAGTGTACATGGACTTTCAGCACATGCATCACGTAACACTTGTGTGCTACAGATACTTGCGCTTTTTTGAGCTCGCAGGTCTCGAGTTTTACAAGTCCCAAAGTCCTTCAAGTGGCGGCACTTGTGAAGGGAGTGTCAAAGTTCGTCCCATCGCGCTTACTTATCCAACTCTAGGCAAACAAAACTTTAGGCACCCCTCGCTTCTTTTGCTCCAATAGACGGAATAATACCGGGATACTTTCTCTGATGGAACTCCGTGGCTTCACGGCAGGAAAGAGCTGGCGACGAACAGGGCTTCGCGGCCGGTAGGGCTTCAACAATTTGTACTTAGACACATATCGTCCGCACAAAAAAAGAGACCACCGGATTCTCAAGAGACGAGTGCCAAAAACCGCGTATTTTGTCCTACTGCTCACGAACAACGATCGATGGAGGCTACGTCCTCCATATCACACAAAGGCTGTAGTGTCTTAAAATATACTGAGGTACGATCAAAGGAAAAAACAACGTAAAATCTGAGCTGCTTGTTACCATACCCGTCTGATACAAAAAATAAAGCCAAGAGCGACACACGGTACAAGCAGAGTCCCATTTTCAATGACTACAGACAGATGCCTGTGTAAAGTCAACTCCGAAAAAACAATAAAAAATCACCCTCCAAAGGCAAGATCACCAACCAAGAATGCTTGTCGAAAAGATGAAAGATACCCAAGGCTCCAACATCATCACCACAGCGCTGAAACGCCACTTACTTGCGCTTATCGTTTCCACATCAACCCCTACATGGCCCCGCAGACTCGTTACCCTTACATTTACCCCCCACTCCCAAACGTGGTACACACCTTCGTAAGCAGTCATGAGTTGAATATGAGAGAATAAAGACAACATCGGCTTGACCTGGACAGCTGCTTCAACTTTGAAAAGTCAAGACCAAGCAGCAGAAGAACAGAAACACCCACGACTTCAAGCTCCATACATCTACCTCATCAACCGCTCCATCGCTTAGTACCTACCGCTCCCTCTGCCCACCTTTGCATCGGGCCGAAACAAACCAACGAGAAAAAAAAAAAAAGAGGGCATTAGAGCACAAGCCAGTCCCGTAGACAAATAAGACCGAGTACTCGGAGTGGCGCGCAGGCTACACTACTGTAGTAAAACCGTTGCGTAACGAATAGAACGCGACCCTATTATACACCGCTATCTGTCTTGAGTGTGAGGACCAAGGCACATCAACTACGCAGGAGGCAGCAGAACGGTCAGAACTTGGCCGCCCACGCAAAAAAAAACACACACACACACATACACACACACACAAGGATGGCCTAGCGGACAAACACCGAACAACCGCGGTGTTTACCTCTCGCGTTTAGACCGCCTTTGCCGACACGCCGTCCCGTACCGTCCCATACGCGAAGTCCTTCCGCGCGACACGTGAACGCAACACCTACGGCGCGGCTAACCCACGTCTGCCCGACACACACGCAAAGATTTCGACTTGCTAATCAAAACCCGGCAGAGTGCGCACGCAACCTGTTCGTGAACGGCCCTTGTGCTCGCACGAGCTAACTGCTCCCGGAGAGGCTTACCGTAGGTTGCGTAAAGGTATCTCACCCCCTGGACCGATTTTCAAAGCTCGGTTTCTCCACGAAGAGGATGCCGATCTCAAATGGTAATGTTGTTGGCAAAGCTCTCGACGAGACGGTTCCAACCCTGCAATTTTCGGCACCGTCACCGCTTTTCTTGCCGAGTAATCGAGCTTTGAAAATCAGTCCAGGGGGTGTGATATCTTACGCAACCTACCGTAGCTATTTAACGAAGTGCGAGAGGAGTGTAACAGACAAAAAGTTCCCCCGCAGTCTCGCGTGCGGGCCTTGCAGAAGTGAGGAGCATGCGCGCCTGCGCCAATGACATGGATTCACCCTCCCGGAGGAGCATCATGGAGGCGGCAGGGGTAGCTCCTCCCCGATACCATGCCCCCTGTCCTCGTACCAGCACGCCACCGCCACGAGAACGTAGGTGGTCACCAGGAGAGAGCCCTGCAGCCAGTTGGAGGTGCCGTTACTGACGGCCGTGGACACGATCACGATGGACAGCACATACTGCGACATAAATCAAAATCAAAGACAAAAAACGAAAATAGGGGCAGGCNATTCGGCGAGTCGCATGAAGGGTGCGCTGCATCCTGCTAAGGGTGTTCGGCATCTTGTGCTACTTCCTTGCGTACGGATGACAGCTGCGTATGACATGATGTATTTTCTGGTGCTTCACTTCCAGAGACAGTTGTAAGCACTGTGTAACTGTCTCGAGGGTGCTTGACCATTTCAACACAACGTGGTGCGATCATGCCCCTTGAGCGGAGTGAGGGTTCTCGACCCCGCACAACATGATCTACTTGACCACCGTTATGGTTACCGCCAAAAAAAAACAGAGATAAACAAAAAACGGTAACCTGGTTGCCGAGTTCACGAAGTGAATTGGCTTGTTTTACAACGTC